AGCGACTTCGAACTGGGTAGTTTGGCATCAGGATTGATAGTCCCACCCCGCACAAACGCCTTTTCCACCAGGAGCATCATCTGCTTTAAACGACTCCACGAACTCTTCATACAGACGTGCAGCTTCTTCATCAGCTCGCTAAAAGACATCTCCATTTCAACAACTGATAAGTAATCAGACGTGGTAAACCTTTAAAAGCTTCTGATGTTATATTGTTCGGGAAGTTCAAAGTCGATGCCTATTACTGTGTCAGGTAGTATTCTAATGTGTTGTCATAGAATACACAGTTTCGAAATCTCTGAAGGTGCTCACGCATAGGAATCTATCAAAGGCAGAGTATTTCAATCCACACGTTCATCAATCTTTACCCTTTTTTTAGCGTCTTCCTCTTCTCTGTGTTTTTGAAATGGCGTCTTCTTCCTAACCACTGAAAATGCTGCCATCTTATCTGCAGCCTTACCCTGGAGAGCAAATACATAGTGCCCACCGTTAGTCACTATCATTGGAATCAGAATTGCAAAAAGATAAACCTTAGACTTGTTCTTTACGACTGAGCTGCGATTCAAGCAAGAACCGCAGCAATCATCACTTTAAGCATCCGTGCCGACTCGTGGAAAAGGAGCGAAATTTTCTTATAATTCAAACTTCACTGTCGCAATATGAAGACTGCTACCTACAACATGACCTGATCACATTGAATCAGAGAGTCCAATGCCCTCGAACCTACATAGCAGATTTAATTACCGTCCCACTTTAATTGCATACTGCATAGTCCATGGGGAAGAGGAATGTGCCAAATAGTGCCACACCTTGACAAGAAATATAATTGATGAAAAGTCAACACAACTACGGAAGCAACAGTGACACTCAATATAGAGGACGGCTACACACTAGAAGACAAAATCCGCTAGTTATCCTCTTCGCTCAGGGATTAATCTAATAGCCCTGAGTCTTGAATTTATCTGTTGCCTAGAAATATGCTGGGAAGATCTAAACTAGGTCGATGAGTAAATCAAGAGGGAAAATTTCTGTCAGTTGGATTTCCAGGTATGCGACTAAAATAAAACTTCAAGTATCCACGCTAAGTCGATTACAAGAAAGAAAAATTTATCTTTAGGGAAAAACCGGACCAGATGCACGGCTAACGGACCTCTCCTAAAACAACACATAGACTGACCTAAAGCAGAGACAAACATTAAAGTGGGACGGTAATTCGTAGGAAAACTCTCACCACCGTCGAACTGAAGAATTTAGCATTGTCTAAAACAAACACGACGCAATCTTTCACAAGCAACGCCATCCACTTTCCACAAACCCTAGACCCGCGGACAAAACTCCCCTAGCACGAAGCAAATAATAAAAGAAACTCCGCACGTCAGTATTCCGCTCAAAAATCTCTATTACGTTTCTAAAAGAGCCCTTATCACCTCGTCACCAAAACTCCACTCACCCACCACCCTCAAAACTCAATCAATAACAATCCGCAGATCGCAGGTCGCCATGTTACATCAAATTCGCCAGTAACTACCAGAATTTCAACCAATCGCGATGAAAAAAATATCACGACTCCCGATCTCAGCTCCTCCGGAACTCAAGTACACTCATCCGAAACCATCCAACTTACATTCTCGGCATCACCGCGAGAAGTCATGGCTGCAACTGGCGCGTTGGAAGCAGAGAGGGCTGCGGCCACAAGAGAACTATACGGGGAGACGAAGACGACGGATAGTTGGCCTAACGACAAGACGAGTCCTCTCCATTCCTCAGCGCCGCAGGAAGGCACGCAGGCAGCAGCAGCAGCAGAGCCGAGAGCTGCAATTTCACGAACAAGCGGGCGAAACGAAGCGAAGGGAGCTCGCCCGTTCGCTAGCTCGGTGATGTTGTTGTTGTTGTGTGGGTGCAGCAGCAGCACTGTGCCCTGCTGTGCTGTGTTGGCGTTGGCGTTGTGGGATCCCGGTCCCCCTCCACTTCCCCGCTTCCCTTTCCCTTTCCCTTCTCCTCACAGGGTCATTCGTATGCCATTCTTCTCAATAAGTCCCTTTAACTATTAATTATCTTAAACAAATATCCAACTCATTTCCTAACCTTTTTATTTCATTTGTCCATCGTTGAAATCTGTTGATTGAGCTAGATGGCTTCTCTAAAATTTGTAGGCAACTTAATTACAAGTAACCTTTTTATTGAGTTGCCCTCGAAATATATTGGACTACTTCCCAAAGTACCAAGTTGCGCTCAAATTCAACAATTTGGTATCCAATGACAATCAAAATTGTCAACTTATTAGACACCCAACACATGTTCTTTTGCTAGGTACACTTTTCACAATCTATCTACTCTTGGAACAATTCAAGTATGTTGCTTATTCTTACTTTGGCTTAATTCTATTTTATTATTTAATTATTCTTGTATTAGTTTTTATTTCTTGGATGTAGTATATATTGTTTCTAAATTGAATCCCTCCATAGCAACATCATCACTACCAACATTAACACCTTAAATTCATTATAACTTGAAAGAAGATCTAAAATGTTTATAATTTAATTCTTTATTTATGATAATATGATATGATTTGATTATTTAGGGTTTTCTAATCAAAGTTTTATATTATATTAAATGACATGCAAGTTATTATATTACTATAGCTATGAATTAATGTAAACTTTCATACAAAAATTAATATGCATACAGATCATAGATTTATTAAAAAGAAGTTAATCACTCAAAAATTATAAAGACAAGATATCTTGGTTAATTTGATATTTATTAATTAATATTGTAGCCACATACTAGTGAAGTAATTCAATTTCATTGTGATTACACTAGTAAAAATAATAAGATTGCACATAGATGTTTGAATGTTCATTCCATTGAAAAAAAATATATATGTCTACATATTATTAAAAAAAAACTTAGAGATTAGACAACTTGTTGTTTTCAAATTAATCTTAGTACTAAAAAATTATATAAGATACATTAAAAAAAAACAAAAAAACAAAAAAAAACAAATCGACAATAAATAAGAAATATTTTAAAGTTGATATTTTGACTCTTTTACAAGTAAAACATTATAAAAATCAATTGAAAAGAAGTCAATGCTATAAATGTATTTATAAGTTTTAATTAATAAAAAATTAGAAGTCTATATTTAGTATTTTTTATAAAATAAAAAAATCAAATACATATACTCTATTTATTATTAAAATTGAAGCTTTAGGACAAAAAAAATCTTAAAATATAATAAAAGTGCATATATTTCTATAGTTTTTACATTTAGTATTAATAATCCTATTTATGATTAATTCACCTTCGTTATATTTAATGAGTAATATAATTACATATTAAAAGTATTGACAATTATTTCCCAATAAATAAATAAAAATATATATGATTTACTGTCACGGCCATAATCATGTAAGCTAATAATTACATATAGAAATAGGTAGAAGTAAGTAAAAGTAGGTAAAAATAAGTTAATTCTATAATATTTAATATGGAAGCTTCTTAGAAACTTCCTAGACGCTGCTTTGACTTCATAGGTGTCTTTAATTGACTTTTTGGATTAGAAACGTGGTCAACAAGTTGGCCATGTGCCACACATGTAGTTAGTTTGAAGATCAAGCTAACTATGTGGCCCACACGTAGAAAAACTTGCCTTGTAAGTCAAGGCATGTGCCCTACAAAGTCAACACATATTGGAGGTCCTATAGAACGTCGCCACGTAGCCCCTAGTTAGAGAATATATATAGAGACAAGAGTGAAGGCTTCTTCACTCTTGTCAACTCCTTTCTTGCTTCTAGTCTAGTTTCAAGGGTCTCTAGTTTTCTTGTCTTTTGGCAATAGCCATTCCAGTTCCTCTTTCAATATATATACTTGTTTATATATATTTTGTTACCTCTCTTTGAGTAAACGCTTACTTGTCTGAATTATTTTTTCATGGAGTTCTTGTCCTTGACAGATTGACAAGAATACACCTACAATATCAGAGCTTTGTCTAATCTTGATTAAGAGTGGATTACCCCTTTTTCTTGATAAGATATAAGCGTATTAGAAGTTGCAGATTACCCTCTTCTAAATTGATATTGTCCTTAGTATTTTCTTTGTCTGCAAGTCCTCTCTTCTATTTGTCTTGAGCGATATTAGACATCTTCTCTCTTCTAAGAGTTATCATGGCAGAACTTTTTGAAATGAAGAGTGCAATGGCACAAATGCAAGAGCAATTGAGGGAGTTAATGCTTGCAATGCATCAACTCAATTTACCACTACAAGGAGCAACAAGATTGGCAAGAAGTGAAGATATAGAAATGGTTGGAGCTGCTTCAACATCTGCACCAAACCATGTCCTTTCTCCTATAGTGGAACGCCCTTCAAATGTTAGAGAACCAAGAATTGCCCTACTCGAGAAGTTTGATGGCACCAGATCCAAGTTTCGAGGATTTAACAATTAAGTGCAACTTGTGATTGAACTTCAACCCCAAAGCTATCCAACTCTAAGATCACAAGTTAGATTCATTGGTACCCTCCTTTCAGGTTCGGTACTATCGTGGTTTTCATCTTTTCTTGAACGACGAGATCCAATATTGGATAATCTAGAGGCTTTTTTGGCGAAGTTTCGATCCATATATGGAGAACATGATGTAATTCGTGTTGCAACCAATAAGATCCGTATTTTACGACAAGGTAATCGATCAGTAACGTTATATGCTTCATAATTTTGACAACTTGCAACTGATATCAAGTGGGATGATGCTGCACTTATTAGCCAATTTTTCTACGGATTACAATATGAGGTAAAAAAATTAATGCTCAACTTACCTGATCCTCAAACATTGAGTCAAGTAATTGACTTTGCTGTGAAGTGCGACAATCGCCTTTTTGAATTTCGATCTGAGAACCGTACAAGTGGACCTCAATGTTACTATAATTCAATGACAACACCAACACCTCTTCAACACATACATTCGGAAGTAGAGGATATGCAAATTGATGCAATACGTTTCAAACCTCTTACTGAGCAAGAAAAGACTTGCCATCGTCAAGAAGGATTATGTTTATATTGCGGAGAACCAAAGCACACTGCTCAACATTGTCCAAAGAAACGACACAATCACAAAATGAGGAGTATGGCTGTAAAAGAAGATAATATGTCGAAAAACGAGTTTGTCTAGGTACAATAGGGACCGTGCGACTTGAACCTTGCACAACTTCTAGTAAAGGTCTTATTCTCTCCTCAGAGCCCTCTCCTTGTTTTACATTAAATGTTATTTTAGGACCTAAACATTACAAAGTCTCTGCCTTGTTAGATTCAGGAGCCTCAGTGTGTTTTTTAGATGAAGAATTTACTAAAAGACATAGCATATCTTTAGTAAAGAAAACTAAACCTATTCATGTAGAAGTCATAGATGGTCGTCCATTGTCTTCTGGAGATATTACTCATGAAACCCTTCCTATAGAAGTAATAATCAATGGTCATAATAGTTTTGTAGTATTTAATATCATTAGATCTCCCTCTAATCCAGTCATTTTAGGTTTATCGTGGTTAGAAAAATACAACCCTCAAATAGATTGGATTTCCCAAACTCTTACTTTCTCTAAAAGTATAACTAACAGTGTAGTTAAGCAAGTAAAGAGTCATAAGTCCAGTTCAATTAAACCCGTATTTATAGGTACAAAAGCTTTCTTGCATGCTGCTATAAAAGAATCACCATACATTATTTATGCTACACCCATTTCTACTGGTGAAAAGACTTCAAGTGGCATTCCAAGCCAATATCAAGAATTTCAAGATGTATTTGAAAAAAAGAATGTGGATACACTCCTGGAACATCGTCCCTATGATTGTTCAATTGACCTTCAAGAAGGAGCACAACCGCCATTCAGACCAATCTATAGTTTATCACAAAATGAGTTGGCTGAACTCAAGGAGTATATTGAAGAAAATCTAGCTAAAAATTTCATACACCATTCTAAATCTCCGGCAGGAGCTCCAATTCTATTTGTGAAGAAAAAAGATGGATCATTGCGGATGTGTGTTATTTATCGAGGACTCAACAAGATTACCATCAAAAACAAGTATCCACTACCTTTAATATCCGGACTTCTTGATCAGCTGAATCAAGCTAAGATCTATACAAAAATAGATCTTCGGGGAGCATACAATCTAGTACGCATCAAAGAAGGAGATGAATGGAAGACTGCGTTTCGAACTAGGTATGGACATTTTGAATACAACGTCATGCCTTTTGGACTTACAAATGCACGAGCAGCTTTTCAACATCTAATGAATGATATTTTTCGAGAGTTTTTGGACGATTTTGTGGTATGTTATCTAGACGACATCTTGATCTATTCTGAGAATTCAAAAAAACATGAACTTCATGTTCGTCATGTGTTACAAAAATTAAGAGATGCAGGACTCTATGCCAAGATAGAAAAGTGTGTATTCCACACTACTCAAGTCGATTTCTTAGGTTACATCATTTCAAATGATGAACTTATGATGGACCCTAAAAAAGTTCAAACTATTATAGACTGGAAGATCCCAAAAACGGTAAGAGATGTCCAATGTTTTTTGAAATTTGCTAACTACTATCAGATCTTCATCAAAGACTTCTCTCGAGTTGCAGCTCCACTTACACGTTTGACTTGTAAAGACAAACTCCAATGGAATGAAGAAGCGGAAGTTGCTTTTGAATCTTTAAAGACAGCGTTTGTTTCTGCACCAATCTTGTATCGTGTTGATTTTTCCAAAGCATTCTTTATGGAAACAGATGCATTGGACTTTGCTCTGGGTGCGATTTTATCACAAATGGGAACCGATGACAAACTTCATCCAGTAGCCTTTCATTCAAGAAAATTCTCAGCAGCAGAAATCAATTATGAGATCCACGACAAAGAACTTCTTGCAATTGTGGATTCTTTTCAAGAATGGCATCATTATCTAGAAGGCGCTTCTAGTCCAGTCACCGTGTATACGGATCACAAGAACCTCGAAT